GGCAACCCCTCACAGGCTGACCCCAACTGCACTGTATCCCCCTCCCCACTCCCCAGATGCTCTCCACAGGCCTCCAGGAGAAGCAACACCACCTCAGACTCCCTCACAGGGCCCCTTACAGCCTCAGACAGACTAATCTGCCTTCTTACTGGACATTTACATGAGGCACCCTCCTCCATAGTTCAGTCGCTCCCTGTTCTGCAACACAGCAACTCTAATACACGACACTCTGCACACACTCCAAACCAGCCCCAACCCATACTTTGGTTCTGCCACAACCTCAATCAACTTCATGACCCTCAAATCAAACCGCACCTCCACTCTCAGCCTGGGCCAAGATCTCCTGTAAGAAAACTGCAAAGTTGGAAGTTACACCCAGCATTGGACACTCAGGTCCTGGAAGACTTGCTCACCCAATGCAGCACCCTCCCCAGACACACCCAGCACTCAGCCACAGGCTCGCCCACACAGGCCCACTGGAGCCCAGCCAGATGATTCTGGTGGGGACAGGTGCAGGGGGGTGTGGGCACATGTGTGGGCTGCTTGCCCCACAGCTCTTCCCTGAGTCTCTGCAGCTGCCCAGGGAGGGAGCACTCTTCATTTGTGTACTCCAGGGTTGCCATGGACCTGCCACAAGCCCCTTGTGCCTGTGGAGAGCCTGTGTGTGGGTGAAGACACTTGTGTGTGGGGCCAAGGTCAAGTGTACAAGGCATCTGTGGGGATTAGCTCCTCCTGATCCATGTTTTATGCCTGAACGCATGTTTGGTGTGTGCTTACCAGTCACTGCATTTACCATCCTGTGCCTCAGTTTTCCTCAGTAGAAGGGGCCACCATCATGAAGTGGGGAAAGAGCAAACGTCTATGATGGGAGAGGCAGGCTTGTGGCTCCCACAGGCCTTCCACCCAGGTGCAGGTTGGAGCAAATGCACAAGGTCTGTGTCTCCCTGTGTCCTCCAGGATCCCACTCTGCAGCCCATCATGTGTGCATGCAGTTTGTGGGGACTGGGGTCACTACCTGGCCTTTATACTCCTGGGATGGGAACCTGGGGGGACACAAACAAGTCAGTTTCCATGTTCTGAACTGTGAATCATCAGCATCTTCCAGTTGTCCCCCTGCCCTTCGAATCCTCCTCCATGTGGAGACCTCCTCTTAGAAACCAGAGAAACTACACTCAGGGCAGCTAAATCTCCTGTGCTCACAGTTGGCAACCAGCTGGGGCCTCCTAGGATCAGAAGCCCCCACCTCCTCCTGCAGGCGGAAACTAGGTAAGGATCAGTTTAAAACTTCCTCCTGGTTGTGGCCTCCTGTGTCCCTCCTCTGTCCCAAGAGGCCCTGGCCACTGCTAATGCACAGCATGCGTGCCCACCCCAGGAGCATGAGTCATGCCACCAGCCATGGACACATATGCTTTGTGAGACCAGTCTATCCAAGTCACGCACACCCAACCCTGTCCCCAGCTGCTCCCACATCCACATCCTGAATGCACAACCCCCTGCAATTTTCCACATGGAGTGCCCTGCAAGTATGTTTCCATGTGTGCTCACACACACCTCCATGCCAGTTTTTCTCACAGATGAGTTCCATGCTCTCACTGCCATACCCGGGTGCACTCTTACATAGTCCCATTTTCATGTCCACACAAGTAAGTGTCCCCAGAAATCCTTGTTTCCCTCTCTGCATCCATGAGTAGACTGCCCATGGGCACACATGTGCATCACGCCTGGCAACGCACACACACACATTTAGTCTGTTTCCCCAGCCCTGGCTCTGGACCCCAGGGGCATGGGCCAGGATCCTCGGGCTTCCTTGCCTGGGCTCGGCAGGCGCCGGGTGCTCACCCGGCGGGCCAGAAGGGTGTGGTAATTAGGCGGCCCCCAGGTCTCCCACATACAATCGTCTCATCCCGGCCACTACGGTCCAAGTCTGAGGTCCTCATTAGTGTCTCCTGCCAGGTCATTACTCTTGTGTCGGGGTAGAGCCTGGCATCCGGTGGGCGAGGCCCAGCTGAGAGGATGGAGGGGGTGGTACAGGAGCGAGGTGGCCGCACCCTCCATCTCCAAGGCGATGCCAATGCGAGTAGGGGCGGGGCGTCAAGCCCTGGTTGCGGAGACCGTTGTGGGGGTTCAGAAGGGGGTCGCCCCCTCCATGTCGGTCTTTGGGGAGGGGCGATTTCCGAATGTGCCGACCTGGTCCTCCTGGCCTAATCCCCAGTCCCCGCCAGGGAGGCGGCGAGTACCGCGCGTTCCGGGACGCAAATAGCAGCCTCGCCCCCGTCCGCGGCTATTTTGAGCCTCCTCCTCCCCGGCTACCCACCCCTGCAGCGCTCGGGCTGAGGCGTGGGGCGAGACGGAGACCCCCTCCCACGCTGGGACTCGTGGCAGGCCTGACGCGGGTCAGGGTGACAGCTAGGCCGCAGCGCCTCCTACTGTCCTCGGGGTGAGCGTGACACAGCGGCTGTGGCAGAGATGAAGGTGGTCCCAGCTCCCTGAGAGCACCCCATGGGAGACACACGGTTTTGGTTACACTCCGAGTCATAGGGACACACATACTCGTGTTACCACAGAAACAGACACAGAGACATTTTACATACCTGTGACACAAGTACACAATTCCTACACGATGCCTGGTGCAGATGCACCCGAGGACAGGTATCCACAGTTATCAGTCCACATCTTGATGGGAACTCAGGACAGTGGAGCCTATACCAGCAATGGAATCATAGTAAATGTTTAATAAATTCGTGCTGGTGAAATGGACGAATGAACAAGGCACTTCACAAAACCTCTGAAGACTTTCTAGTGCATGCATGTAGCTTGGATCTTTGGTCTGGAATCTGCACTAACTTTCTTTACCCACGGAAGGGTCTAGGGCCACAGGAGACAGCATGAGCAGAGACTTGGGCAGGAGGCAGGTGTTGGCTACAGGAAGGGACTCCCCAAGGCTTGAGGATCCCTGCAAAAATTGTTCTCCTGATAGCAGAGATGTTGGGACGCCTTGAAAAGACAGGAAAACGAAACAATGGGAGGACTAGAGTGGCACCGGCCCCCTGTGGGTGTAGTGAGTGGGTTCTGGGTGCACTGGGGCAGGGGTGATGGAGCAACTAATGGAGAGTAAGCCAGAGCTGAGCCCAGTGGAAGAGTACAGGGGGTACTGGAGGACTGAGCCCTAGTGGCAGGCTTGAAAGGCCGGTGGGGTCAGTCTGTGGCTAGAGCTGGGATGCACAAGTGTTTAGCTAGGTGAGTGTTGGGATGTGAGCTGGTGCAGGTCAGATTTGTAGGTAAACTGAACTGAGTGAAGTGGGTTCCCCAAAGTTGGGAAGTATGGAGAATTTGAATTGTGGTTAATATTGGGGTCCACGTAAATGAGCTTGTCTCAGTGTCGGGGTTTGGGTGGGCTTTGCGGCCAGTCTCGTGAAGTGTTGAAGTGGTGATTTGCAGCTTTGGACTCCTGGGAGTGCTGGACAAGTATAGTTATCTGAACAAGTATACAGGACTGTTGTTGGGGTTCAAATGTTGAAGTATCAAAACTGGGCGTAGTATCTATGGGAACCTGGGTGAGGTGGAAATGTAGGCAATTGTTGGAGCAAAGCAAAGGTCACAGTTCCACCAGAGACTCTAGCCTCTGGCAACAGCGGTCGGAGGCCTTTGTTCCGGGTGGGAGGTGGGTACGCGGAAGTGGGTCAGCCCCGCCCCTGTCCCTCCTCCTCTCGAGGGCTGGGCACTGCGGGCCTGCGCGTTCCCGCCAGTTACGGCGCCCGGCACTGGAGCGCGGAAAAGGCGTGACCTATACAAGTCCGGCCTACAGCTACGAATATAAGGCGTGGCCAATGACCGCCTAGCCTGAGATTGGCCAAAGGGACAGCTGGGGGCGGAGCCCAGCGGCGGCGTACATAAGAGCGGCCCCCGGTGGAGGCCCCCCCTCACTTGCGCGTTAGGAGGCTCTGGTCGTTTTGTGGTGTCGTCTTCCTGCCTGCGTCAGGGACCTGCCCTACTTTGTGGTGAGGGCCCTGGCGGCACTAGCTCCAAGGGCCCCGGGCGGCGGGCGGCCTGGGGCCGGCCGGAGGAGGCAGGGCGGCGGCGGTATACCCCTGAGTAGGAGTAGTGCCGGGGCGGGCTCAGGGTGGAGTCTGCCCCACCGGCGGTGTGGGGCGGCGGTAGACCCGGCCGATCCTCAGCCGGGGGGCGTCCCCTCGGTGGCCTAGGTTTGCTGAAAGTGGGGCGCCGCCGTCGCAAAATGGCGGCCGTGAGCGCGAGGCTGAGACCCGCGAAATGGCGGGAGCGACGAGTGCCCGGATGCAATGTCTCAGGGCCTGCGCAGGACGCATGCGCGCGGTGTGGGCGGGCCTGGGGCGGGGCCACTTGGCGGTTCTCTGCTACGGCTTCTGTTTCCTGGGCTTCTCGTTGAATTTGCACGAGGTGAACTCAGACCCCGTGTCTCGGTCCCAAATTGGGTTTCCAGTTGCACGTTTCCAGGCCCGTGTTTACGGAACCATGTGGCAGGGGTTCTTCCAGCCCAGAAAGGGTCGGTCCAAATTAGCACCGGCCCCACATACCCACTGCACGTTGGAACCCCACCCCATCTCCCTATGAAGGCCCGGTTTCTGGCCACCCCGCCTTACAAGCCAACGACTTTGCTATTTCCACCCCAATGGTTCTGTTAAGTAGTTGGGTGCCTGTGTGTGAAAGGAAGAACCGAGATATAACAAAGAAGGCAGTTGCCTGCCTTAAGTGTCCAGTCCTAAATATCTCTTGAAGGCATCATCTGGGGTCCACTGCCAGGACCGCACTAAGGAGTATAAAGAACCTGGCCTAGGTGGGGACAGGGAGCCCAGAGTAATGAAAGAATTAACAACTTTTTTTGAATTACATTTTGGTTGTGGGTCTAGGATGGTAAGTAGCAGAAAGATAATTTAGCAGGTCCTCAACAAGCACATATTACTTGTATATAAAGTAGAGTAGGAGGGAGGGGTGAACAATGAAGCCTTTGGAGGACCTCAAGATTTCAACGGTTTACCACAGGCCACCATGGCATCAGATGAAGGCAAGCTTTTCGTTGGAGGGCTGAGTTTTGACACCAATGAGCAGTCGCTGGAGCAGGTCTTCTCAAAATATGGACAGATTTCTGAAGGTGAGGCTGGTGCTGGCCTGGTGGCAGCTGAGCAAAAACTACTTTTGGGGATGTTGGGTGCCAACTGCAGACTTCTCCCCTGCACAGTGGTGGTCGTGAAAGACAGGGAGACCCAGCGGTCGCGGGGCTTTGGGTTTGTCACCTTTGAGAACATTGACGACGCCAAGGACGCTATGATGGCCATGAATGGGAAGGTGAGGGGCAGCTGCTCTGGGGATGTAGAGGGTTCTGGTTTGCAGGGCAGGGAGGTGCAGAAGCTGACCTGAGCCAATGTCTTGGTCTCCACAGTCTGTAGATGGGCGACAGATTCGAGTTGACCAGGCTGGCAAGTCATCTGACAACCGATCCCGTGGGTACCGAGGTGGCTCTGCTGGGGGCCGAGGAGGCTTCTTCCGTGGGGGCCGAGGCCGGGGACGTGGGTTCTCTAGAGGTGAGTACCACTTTGGTGCCTGAGGCCCTTGAGGACATGATGGGAGCACTGCTGCAAGGAGCTGGCACTCAATTGTCCTCCCTGTTCTTGTCTGTAGGAGGAGGGGACCGAGGCTATGGGGGGAGCCGGTTTGAGTCCAGGAGTGGGGGCTACGGGGGCTCCAGAGACTACAGCAGGTGAGGATGTGGTCCTGCCTGAGTGTGTGGCAGGCTTTTGTTGGGATGCTGGCACAGGGTCAGGGTGGGTAGACTAAGGTGCCCTCCAGCGCCCACATATTTCCTTCCTACAGCCGGAGTCAGGGCGGTGGCTATGGTGACCGGAGCTCAGGAGGGTCCTATAGAGACAGCTACGACAGTTATGGTAAGTCACACTCCGAGGGCCTGTGGTGGGAGCTGAGCAAGCTTTGGCACCCTCTGTGAGCAACACTCAGACCTTGTCACTGTGCTTGCCCATAAGGGACAAGATTGCCCTCTCAGGTCTCCAGCCAGCAGCCATTTCTACCACAAAACACAAAAGCTAGACCAGACCAAGAAAGAAAGGGAGATGAGGGGCCCGCTGAGCAGGCAGCATAAGTGCATGTGTGGCCACCCAGCCCCGCCGCCCTCAGCTGTGGGGGGGGTTGGTTGCTCCCGAGGCCACAGAGCCGAGCCCTTCAGGTCTGAACCCGGGAGTGGAATGCTGCCTCTTGTTGCGTGCTTCAGTGCTTTTACACTGTACCTGCTTCTTGTTCTCAGCTACACACAACGAGTAAAAATCCTTCCTGCTCAAGATCGTCCTTCCAATGGCTGTATATTTAAAGATTTTGGGAGCTTCGCTGAATCGTTAATGTGTAGTGAACACACCTCCTTGTACCTACTTTTGTAGTCTTACCAGTTCTAATCTTGTCAAACACAGCCTGACTGCTTCTCACCCCCTAGATGGCTTATTAGACTTTACTTTTTAAGGAAGTGCTGTCAGTTTTTAAGGGTTTTAAAAATGTTTTTGAAAAGCACTTCTGATTTAAATATTTTTTTTTTTAACCATGAGCCTTGAGTTTTTGAGAAAATCATTGGGGGTTGTGTGGGTTTTTTGGTTTTGGTTGTGTTGTCTTTTTTTACATATATTTTTTTAGTGGGGTTGGGTGAAGTTGGGCTCCCCCACCTTCGCCTGATTCAAGTCTCTGAGATTGGGCAGACTCTGAGTCCACTTTTTGTTGGAAGCTGAGCAGGCTGTAGCTTTTTTTGAATTCCATGTACTGTTCCTGAGTGTAGCATGCTGGGACTGGCCCCAGGTGGCAGCAGAGGTGCCTGGTTGTCTGGGCCCAGCCTGTACAGCCCATCTGCTGTGTATAGCTCACAATAGACTCAAAGATGTCCCTGAGAGGTTCTTGAAAATATTTTATTTATATTGTCCTTTTTTACTGGAAGACATATGCATATCCTATTGATGTTGTATTTGAAGTGGTTAAGGAATTCTTGTACACAGTTTCTTTGGCTTTACGAAGCTGATTAAAAGACCGTCTGAAATGAACCTTGCTCTGACAATTTCCCTTTCATTGCTCAACACACTCCTGCTGCTAGCTCTTGGCACTCAGACCTCAGCAGAAAGGGCAATTTGAGAAGCAGGCCTGTGAGCCCTGCCTGAGGCTTGCAGAGAGCTAGGCCAGGAAGGCCGAGTAAACTGACACTGACAGGCCCCTTGTGACAGCTGACTGCCACTGGTTCTGGTTAGGTGAGCAGGTGGGTGACAAAAGTGGGCAGGTTGACCTCGAGGCGGCCCTGGCAGGCTTCTGGCGGTGGCAGCTGGAGGGCTCAATGGGGCGGGCAGCTCAGCAGGAACATTAGACACATGGGCACTTGACGTTGACCAGACTGCATAGCCTAGAAGCAGGCCAGAAAGCAGACCGCAGGCAGTGTCCCTGGGTAACCACAGACTGACTGCTTGTTAGCTAGCTCTGCTGTTGCTTTACAAGTTCTGAGAGTTCTCCGCTAGCCTATGGAAGCTGCAGCCCCTCGGAGGACAGAAGTGTTGTGCGCCCAACAGAAACCTCTGAGACGCAAGCTGCTCCCTTGGCTAGCTCATATGTGGAAATAGCCCTGTAATTCGAGGTAACTCCTTTTGCTCGTGTCCACATCCCTCCTCTTGTCAAGAGCTCATTTGAAAGTAAAATTATGTGCCTGGGTAATGTTTCTTTGACTGTTTTTTGCTTTTCCATTTTCTTTTCTTTTTAAAAAAAATCAAGCTGGAACTAAAGTCAGATCCCAGCCATTAGCCCTTCCCTGCCTGCAGCCAGGCAAGCAGGCCAGGCAGTTGCACTTCGCAAGTAGGTTCAATCTGTAAGCAGGATTGGAGAGCGCTGAGCATCCTGCCTTTTGGCTTTTTTTGTTCATCAATTGACAGTGTTTTCCAGACCTCTTTAAGTCACATTCCTTCCTTATAGCTCTCTGATGTTTCTTGCCACCATGAGTTTTTTGGGGTTTTTTTTTTTTTCCCAGATCCCGCACCATTCTCTAAGCAGCTCCATCCCCAGTGGGTAGCTGGCTCTGCTTAGGGATGGAATGTGGCCTGGTCAAGGCTCAGGCTTGCCCTGGTCATGCCAACCCATGATGGGGGCTCTGCCAGGAGGGCCCGATGACTAGCTTGAGACCCTCCTAGGAGCTGTGGATGGTTTCGGGTGAGGTGGGGAGGGGCAGCTGTGAGCACGTCCAAGTCCCTGGGGGTAACACTCCTTTGTTTTGGCAGGTTGAAGGGAAGCCAGTGCATCTCAGAAGGGTGGCCCAATAGCAGTGATGACCTGAGATACTGTCCCAAGAGGGATTTCACCTGGGAGCAGGAGCCAAAGGCACAGTCCCCTGCTCTTGCAGCCTGTCACCTGTAAGTTCATTTCTGGGGGATGACACACAATCCTATGCCCCTGGTAGTGTCTGGTCTTCCCTGTGGGTTCTTTCTGGTTTCCTGTCCAACCCACAGCACCCTTTGGGGACACCTGTGTATTTGTGTATTCCTTCTACTGGAGCCAACTCTAGTTCTCCTTTTACTTCTTCATTTATCCAGCAGGTTCTTCACTGGCAAGGATGGCGTGCAGGGCTTGAAGTCACTCCAGGAGGACGAGTGAGTGGCAGCTTGCAAGTGGCCAGTCCTCACCTGCAACAGTGTGGCAGGACATGGAAGTCAGATTTGAATAAAGGACTGGTGTGTCTACCCAGAAATCTGAGTCGTTTGGGGTGTACCTGGGGGGGGTATCCTTGAGCCTCAGGTGAAGGCTGGGTGGGAAGTGGGAGTCCCCTAGAGAAAAACAACTTTTGGCCTTGGTTCAGGGTACGTGCTGGGCCCCAACCAGACCAGTCAGTCACTTCATTGTCTTCTTGGTTTCACTGGGGGCACACTCAGCCTGAGAGGAGAAGGCGGTGGCCTCTGGGCCTCTTCATCTAAGATGGGCATCTGTCTCTCAGGGTCCTGGCGACGGTGTTGGCAGAGTGACCTTAGACAACATCATCCATATTGCCCATAGGGCCAAGCTTTCTTCTGAGCTGGTGGCTGAGAGCCCCTTGGGGTTGGGCCTATCTGCTAAACTGAGGGAGGTGGGGAGGAAAGGATGGTGGCACCTGACCCAAGGTTCGGTCAGTGCAGTGAGGTCAGGATGGCTTTGGTCCCCCCTACAGCTACCCAGGGCAGAATGCCCAGGCTGGGACAGGCAGGCCTGCTTTCCAGGAGGGCCTATTCATTGGCACAAGAGCCAGGGTGGGGACCAAAGCAGCAAGAGTTCCCAAGCCCATGTGGGAGAAGCTTCAAGGGTATTGTGCTGAGCTTGGTATGACCATGTCCCTTGCGTGGGTCTGACCCCACTATACAATTGGGAACCTCGTTCCTGGGAAGGCACTATCTCCTGTGTGGCTTGTAGAGTGGCCTCCAAGCACCCTTTTCTGACTGGGAGTTCCCCATGGCTGTGGCACTCAGGCTGGGACCCAGGAGGAACAAGCCTCAGCCTCCAGGCTCAAGGTCCAGGTTGTATGCACAGCTGGCTAGGTGCAAAGCACTGAGGGAAAAGCCCAGGACGGCAGAGGTGATACGACGTTAGTGGATAGGGGCGGGGTGTTTCCAAGTGCGAAGCTCCGCCCCCCTGCGAGCTATTGGCTGGTGCCGCCTGTGCCAGTGAGGGACGGGAGTTTGCGGGGCGGGTTGGAGCCACCGCTTCCGCAGGGCGATGGGGCTGTGTGTGGTGCCGCTGCTGTTGCTCCTGCCGTCACTGCTGCTGTCAGCGCTATTCTGCAGAGTCCAGGAGGTCACTTCTCTATCGTCGCGCTCCTCGCAGTCTACGCTTTCGCCACCACAGGCCATAGCAAACGAAAGCCAGCCGGCTGCGCCGCACAACAGTACGCATCTGCAGCCGCCGGGCTCGCTGAGCTCGCAGCTACTGCGCTCTTTTTACGTGCTTATTGGCTTCACCAGCCTGGCTGCGCTCTACTTCCTCATCCGGGCCTTCAGGTACGTCAGGCGCATGCCCGCAGCCTCCCCTGCGAGCCCAACCAGTGCGCGCCTTGCCCTCCAGAGTGGGCGTGGATGGTGCTTGTCATCATGTCATCATGTGGTCTGGGTGGGTTATATGGGTCACGTGAGGCCTTGGTACTTCCTAATGCGGGTACGGGTTCGGGGTTCTCGAATGCAGCGATTCAGGCTGGACAGTGAGGGTGGGCGTGGGCTTGTACTCGCTTTATGTTTTTCTGCAGTTCCCTGTACCAGGCGACACCCAGCAGCCCAACATGGGCCTGTGCTCCCAGCATCTGCACCCTCCCTTTTAAGCCACCCAGCCCAGATAATGGAGAAGAGAGAACACTGGGCAGGGGTGGATGGAACCGCTCTTTCCTTACCCGGAAATCAGTTTCTTGGTTCCTCCGGTGTTCTCTCTAGAGAGTTGAGGACTCCTTTTCCTCGTCCTTGGCCCACATGCCCTGCCAGGTTCTAGTTTGGTCTCTGGCTTCCCTGTTTCACTTCCTATTCGGGACTGAGCTCCAGAGGGCCTTTGTCACACAGAGCTGACCATGTTCAGACTCTTTAAAGAGGTCCTGTTTGTCCCTGACTGGCACTCCTGTGGGTGCACAGTGCTCTTGTTCCCTTTGAGTACTTAATCTTGCTGCATCTGCTACAGAAAGCCTCCATCCTCTCCCTGGTGGTGGTCAAGAGTGAGGGCTTGCGCCTGAAACGGACAGCACTCGGTTTAGGTGTCCCTTGTACCACTAACCCTACTCCGAGACCCCATTTTCTCATCAGTAGAGTGGGATAACAGCGCCCTCTTGAGAGGTCCTGCCAAGGAAGCATTCATCTCCCATTATTGACATAAGAGCTACTAATAATTACTATGAATGTTATGAAGCAAAAGAAACACAATTAGACAAGGAAGCTTCACACAAAACTTTAGGGATTGGGAGAGGAGGTGGAGAGCAGAGACAATGGAGGCTTATGGGAGAAGGCCTGAAGCAGGATGGGGTGTGAGCCGCCCCCAGAGATGACTCAAGACAGCCACTGATTGTGCCTGGGACTGCTTCCAGGTTGAAGAAACCCCAGCAGAGGAGCTACGGCCTCCTCACCAACAGTGAGGACCCCACAGAGATGGCCTCCCTGGACAGCGATGAGGAAACCGTCTTTGAGACCAGGAATTGGAGATGGTAGTGAAGTCTTTCCCCTACCTCCAGAAGCTCCGGGTGGGTGGGTGGCTGGAGTAGGGTTGGAGAGTTGGGAAGACCACTGATTCTTGAGGTCATCACTTGTGACCAGGCTGTGTGGCTTGGGGTAAGACTTGTGCCCTACCCAGTCTCAGTTTCTCATTTTTTTCAGAGGGGAAGGGGCCACAGTCTTGAGTCAGTGCTCTGGACCCAGCCTTGAAGACCAACATTGTCATCAGAATTGGAGAATTAACTGCAGGGTGCTACAGAGGGGGTGGGTTGGGTGGCCTCTTCATGGCTCCAGCCCCAGGAAGAGCATAGCAGGCAAAGGGAATGGCAGAAAGGAAGAAGGAGGGCAGGACTGAGGACCCAGGGGCTGCTGGGCACAGAGCTGGGACTGGACCTGAGCATGGAGTGATGGCTGTTGAGCCCAAGCTTCCCAGGGGAGACATTGCTATAACGTGGTAGCCTCTCTGGTCTCCTCCACCTCTTGTGGCTAGGGAACCCCTTCCCCCTTCCCCCAACGTGCAAAATCAGGCAGGGCCTGGCAGGCTGGGGGAGGTGGACCCTGGTTGACCTGGGGGCAGCAGTTGGACAGGGGAGAAGAGCACTTGGAGGGTGAGCCTCAGGCACAGTGGAAGGGAGTGGATCAGGGTAGGCCCCTTGCTCCACATTTCTCACCCCTATCCCTCATCTTCCAGACATTCAGGTCGGGGAGGCAGCGTTCCCAGCAGCTCTGGGGGAAGGACAAGAGACAGGGCCTCACTCCCAATGCCTACACACCTGGCAGTTCTGCTGGCCTGAGAGCTCAAGTGGGACCTGCCCAGCCAGCCTGAAGCCACCTTGGCCCTCCACTGCCACAGGACCACCCAGGATGCCAGGTGCGAACCAGAGGGGCCTCTGGCTGCCCCATCCAGAATTCTGAGACCCTATGACTGGACTTTGACTTGTGCCCTTGACCCTCCCCCATGGGGACACAGCTGAGGCCTGGCAGGCAGGTGGGCTTATGGTCCTGTCTGGGAGTGCCTTCCCACTGGGCTGAGAACAATAAAGGCAGCAGTGGCTCCGTAGCTGTCACCCAACTCCATATTGGGCCAGACCTGGCATTCTGGCTCACAAGCAGGGTGGATAGCAGAACAGAGCTTGATTCAGTCTTGGCTTTTCTTACCTGTGACCATGCTGGGTTTCTTTGGTCTTGTCCCCAGCTGTCCAGAGGGCACAAGGAGGAGTTCTATGAAGCAGACAGAGAAATGGGGGGACTTCCAAGTCATTGCCTCTGGACCTACTCTACCAAAGGCCCTGTATAAGAACCCTTCTGTGTTTCCTTCAGTCTAGGGCCCTTAAAGGTCATATTCTCTGGGATATTTGCCTCACCCCATTCACACCACCAGCACCTTTGGGTCTGTAGTGTATGGGGTCTGGAGCTTCCTGAAGCCTCAGGAACCCTGTGCGCTACCATGCCCTATCCCTGTCAGCCTCATTGACCCAGGCACCCAACTTCATTCCTGGTGAGAGTCAAGGGGTTCCTCTGTGGGCTTTGTTTTTCCTTCAAGTCACTATGTCTGCACAGAGTCCAGCTCTGTCACCCCTGCCCACTGTAAATGATCCTGGAGAGTTGGGGTGAGGGGGCGGCCAAGGAGAAGGGCTGGCCTCTGGCAGCCCCACAACCTGAGGCCTTCCCCCCAGGCCCCTGGCCAGAGCCACCATGGCCATGTCATTAGGGAGAGCAGCCACTAGGTGGTAGCCTTGTGCTGCCTGGCCTCTGCCCCACTAGCCTGCTGTGCCCTGGCGTAGCCTGGGCTCAGCCACTTGTACAGGTGGGGAAATAGATCCATCTGGAAGCCTTGTTTTTCATGCCTACTCCTGAGCCTCACCTTGTTCCCATGTCCACTGTGGGATGGGCCAAGCCTGCTGCCCATTTGGGATTCATCAGCCTCCTGGGCCTGTCCTGCTCAGCCCCACTGACCCTCCTCACTAGAGCTGAGCCTGGGTCCCTGCCTGCTGCCATCTCTGCCAGTCAGTTCATCACTCCTCTCTCCATCTCTGGTCCTTTGAGCTGATCCCCAGTTGGCTTCCTTGGGCATCTCTATCTACGCCTCCTAACTCTCTTCACATTTCTATTTCCCTTTCCCCTCCACCCTCAGGAAGTTTTTTCTCCATGACTGCTTCCTGCCCACCCCCACCACCATTCTTTGGGAGGGTCCTATACTGAGGGACCAGTAGATCCTCCAGGGAAGGTTGAAGACATTAGGCTAGAGTCCCCTGGAGGCCCCAGATGTCACACCCCCTGCTTTTTGGGCTCTGGCTCTTCCCTCCCTATCTGTCCCCACCCCTCTCCACACATCTCTGTCTTTCTCCACTTCTAAGCCCCTGCCTGCCTCCCTGTTTGTGTCTCTATATCTGCATAGCCTCCCACTTGGTCTCCTTTCGTTTCAGTCTGTCTCTGCTCTCTAGCTCTCTCCCTGTCTGAACCACTGGGACACGCTTTTTTTTTTTTAAATAAATTTTTTTTTAGATTTTTATTTATCTTTAGAAGGGAAGGGAAGGAGAGAGGGAGAGAAACATCAATATATGGTTGCTTCTCGTGCATCCCCTGCTGGGAACCAGCCTGCAACCCAGGCATGTGCCCTGACTGGGAACCGAACCACAATTGTTTGGTTCACAGGCCCATGCTCAATCCACTGAGCTACACCAGCCAGGGCTGGGACATGCTTTTAACAGGTACACAGAAACCATGTGGGTTCCCCCACTCTGTGATCTGTGCCCCTCTCCCACAGCTCTGAGAAATTTCTTGAGCTTCAAAAGGCACATTAATTACTCTGATGAGGTCAGGAGAGACCCCACGCCTGCCATCCGGAGCCGAGAACACACTATATGCCCTCCAGCCTGGCTGCCTCCTGCCCACCCTGTGGGGCGGGGTGGGGTGCCCCTTGCTTCCAGGCCCCGGCACCTGTCAGTGCCTGCCAGCCGCACTGCACACCCCCTGCATTAGTTAGTGTAGAGTAATTGGCAGCCCCTCCAAGGTTAATGCAATATTAGCAGGAAGTTCTCAGTGGCTAAAAGCTGAAAGAGGGTCCTGTCAGCACAAGATGAAAGGCCCAGGTCTGGTGGCTTGAGGGCCCGTGTGTGTGCATACATTTGAGCATGGAGGGGCTTCTAGCATTCTTCCACCTCTCACACTCACAGGGACACGTAGCGTGTGCCATGGACTATCACACATGACACACATGCTGACATACCACCTCTAACAGACCCCAAGCCGGAGCCAGACTGGGATGTGCAGTGCATGGCCTGGCCCCCTTGAGGCCCCTCTCAGTACCTCCACCACCTTCCCCCACACATGTCCACTGAATATGCAGCAAACCTGTCCCCTCAGCCGTGGGTAGGTTGGAGTGTCCAGCTCCTGGTTGACCACTAAATGGCTTCTCCATCTTGGGAATGTGGACAAGTGGGAGCTGGATACTTCAGGCTCATTAAAGGGGTGGCTTGTGGCCGGCTGTCTCAGGCCAGTGCCTGGTGGTAGTTAATTTGTCTTCCAGGAGGTGGGGGTTCTGCTGGCTCTGATGTGTGCTCCCTAGGATATGGCCCCTGCATCCAGTAGGGCCACATCCCTCTCACCTGGTCTTAGCAAGTGATGCTGCTGTGCCCTCCTGGGGTTCCCAGGACAGAAGTCCTCTCTGATCCCCCATCCTCTCAGGTGGCTCGTCTCATCCTTCCTGGAGGAGTCTGAGCTGCCATACAACCCCCCCCCACACACACACACCAATGATGTCCTGTCTCAGGCAGGTGTGGCTGTGCAGGTGCACCTGGAGCTGTGCTACCCAGCATAGCAGTCACATGTGATTGTTTACATTTACACTCAGAGTGAAATTAAAAGTCCTACTCCTGGTTGCACTGGCCACATTCCATGTGTGCAGTAGCCACCTGGAGCTTGGGACACGTATGTGACAGCAAAGATCTGGAATGTTTTGGTCCTCCAGAGAAGTCTAGCCCCAAACTGGCAGGTGGTGTCTATGGAGGACTGCTCTCTGTCCAGGCCTGGGGCTGGGAGGGTCAGAAGGAAAGAGGGAGGGTAAGGGGGAGAAGGAAACTAGCAGGGATATGGGGCCCATTCAGTTTCTAGACTTTGCAATTGCAGGAATCTTAGGTTTGGGCTGTTTCAAGGGCCTGGGTGGACACAAGGGTGGGAAGTTTCATTTATCAGCAAGACAAAGGGATACAGTTTATCCTCAGTGACAGAAACCAACAGCCCCCCAACCTCAAGGAACTCTTGACCTCTCCACCCCAGGTGCTCAGCCTGCTGAGGCCCCGCCACCCTTCTCTGTCAGAAACCTGCCTGGCTGAGCTGGGCACCTAAAGACCAGTGGAGCCAGAGTACGCTGTGGATTTAATACAATGTATTCTGTAATGAGAAGTTTATTCCCACATAGTTTTAGTCTGCATGGTGCTGTGGCCTTTGGAGGCCAAGGGTGCTGGACACTGATCCCCACCCTGGGGACCTATCCTGTGTATTGGATGGCAGGTGATGGATTGTGGCTGCTGGGTAGCAGGTCAACTGTCAGTGTGTGCTGGACTGGGGTAAGTGGGTGGCTGGTACTGGGTGTTGAGCCAGGGGTGCCGAGCACAGGCTAGGGACCAGATCTGGGACTGGCTGGGTCAAGGTCCTTCCTGAGTCTAGGGCACACCCTTGAGCCCAAGAGTGTAGACCTAGGTGGATGGGGATAGACTCTCATCAGAAATCCTGTCCTGAGCCTGGGGCTGATAGAGGACCCTGGATGACCCCTGACCCTGACTGAGCATTAAACCCAAGACTTAAACCCTGTCCCCAGAATGATCCTGAGGTCCATCTCTTGAGTCCAGAGGAAGCTTACTCCAGAATGATCCCTGCTCCCAGCTGATGCCCTGTCTGCTGAGGCTGGAGGCTTTGACAGCCCCCAACCCTGGGAGGGGACAGGTGCCCATAGCTTGCCCTGGCTGGGCAGGGGTCCCCATGAGCATCTGGTCAGGTATTCCTGTGCCTCCACCCCTCCCTCCTGTGCCGTGCCTGAGGTCCAGGCCTCACAGCTGCCCAGCGCTGCCTCCACCCCCAGGCGCTCCCAGGTGAAGAGATCGAGTGGGGGACACATGCTTTTGTTCCTGTCCGTGCTCTAGCTCTGACCTTGAGAGAGACAAGAACAGAAGGAAAACGGAGCTTCAGCTGAAATCCACTCAGCGGCAGTGGTAGCTCTCGCAGAGGTGGCTTGCGCTTTGCCTTGGTGGTCCCTGCATGCCGATGAGCCAGCACAAGGCGGGCCTTTTTGGAGTAGGTCCTCTCTGCCCCGGTGCCCTGCCCACTTTCCTGCACAAGTCCAATCCCACTGGGTTTGACAGGAAGCCCCGCTGCATCTGCGAGATTCAATAAAGTAGAAGGGTTCTCTTCCAACAGCATAGGAGGCTTCTGGAGGGGTCCCCTTTGCCAAGCAGGTTAGTGGGCTGGGCCAGGCACTTCCTGTGCTTGGGTTCAGCCACCACATCCCTGCTTAGGAAGTAGCTGTCTCTCTGCCCCCCGAAGAGCCAGCTAACTAGCTGGGTGGTTAGCCCAGGGGTGTCCAGAGAGTTTGTCTGAAGGCCCTGCCAGGTGCACTGGGCCAGTTCGGGGCCTCCAGGCTTTCCCCAGCCACTACTTGTAGGCAAGTTCCTGCCTCCTCAGAGTCATTGGGCCAGCCTTGGGATGGGCAACTGCAGTTGGGTCAGAGGACAGGACCCACAAGCCAGAACAGACTGAGCTGATTTCCCTAGAGGTCAGAGGACTGAGAAACTTATCCTGTGGGGAGGAGGGGCATAGGGTGGGACAGGCCTTGAAGGAGGAACAGAATTTTAATGAGAAGGGGAGGGGAGGGACTCCAGGTACAGCAAGCCAAGGTGGGAAGTGGAGTTATAGAGAAGCTCAAGGGCCACGTGACGTACCCACAACATAACAGAGGTGTGTGTCTGGGGTGGGTCTTGGCCAAAGATTAGTTTGCCCATTTCTGGCCTCTCACGGACCTTAGCAGGAGCTTCAACTATCCATCACTTGGGAAACTTCCAGTGCAAGTGCTCTGGACTCTGGACCCTGCAGCGGACCTTAGCCAGGGAAGCAAGCCCAGCAAAATGGAACCTGGCTGGGCACCATCAGTATTTTCCAGCTAGTACTCAGTGACAGCTTACCTCCATGAGCTCAGTCTCATCAGGGGGCTGTGGTGTAAATGAAGACAACTAGAAGTCAGCCCTGCAGGAATGCTCACTCTGAGCCCACTCCAGGCCCTCTGCCTGAACGCCCTTCCTATTCTCCCCTTGCCAGACTTCCCCTATGTGTTGACTTACTTGCTGAAGGTATCAAGGTGGGGACTACTGTTCCATTTCCCAGATGAGAAGATGGAGGTCAGGAGGGATGTGACTGTCCTGGGGGCTCCCAGGGGAGCTGTAGTGGACTTTAGTCAGCCCAACTTACAAGTCTCCACCAGGTGGGACCGGAGAGGCCAAGTTGGCTTGGCACAGTTTAGGATTTGGGATCGGGGCATTGAGTTAGCTCAGTCTGGTTCATTTGGGTTTAAATGCCCAGGTGCGATGGGGGTGAGTCATCTATAACTCCTGCTCCTGGAACTGCCAGGCTCTGCAGAGGGGCTTGGTGGCCTGAATGGAGGGGACAGAGAGGAACTCGGAACCTCGGTCAGGGCCACGTGATAATGATGGGATGGCAGGGGCAGGACCCTTGGGGTCTAGGCAGCCCGACGTGGACCGGACCGGACGCTTTAGCTGGGGCAGGGGGCGCGGTTGAAGCAGCAGCCCCCGCCCACCCCCGCTTGGCCGGGGCACGGCAGGAGGGGGCGCCCGCGGCCCTCCCGGCGCTTGGGAGGGACAAAGGCCGGAGCCCCGGCCCCTCTTCAGTGGGTGCGGTGGCGGCCCGCGCTCCCAGAGTCCCTGCGGCTGGGCCGGCGCCCGGGGCGACCCCGGCGCCCAGCCCATCGCCGCCTGACTTTTCGGCGCCGGAGGTCGCGCGCCCAGGAGGGGGCGGCCGGGGATCTCCAAGCGTAGGAGCTCCCTCCTCCCGCCCGCCCTGCTCCCGCCTGCTCAGTGGTGGTGGTGGCGGCGGCGGCGGTGGTGGCGGAGGAGGAGGTGGAGACGGCTGGCAGGCGGTGGCCAGGCGAGCGCGGCGGCCGGACCCGGGCCATGGCGCCCGCGCAGCGCCCACTGCTGCCAGTGCTACTGCTGCTGCTTCTGCCACCGCCGTCGCCACCCTTAGCGCGCGCGGAGGACGCCACCCGAGCCAACTCGGACCGCTACGCTGTCTACTGGAACCGCAGCAACCCCAGGTGAGTGCGGGTGGGGACGGGGTGCCGAGGGAACCTGGATGTCCCCCGTCCTGGCCCGGCCTCCCCGCCCGGAGCTCCTAGCGTCCTCCAAGCGCGCTGCTTCCGGAGTGGGGGTGCCCGGTCCTGCAGGAGCCCCCAGGGAGTCCTGGCCCCACCGGAGTTTGGGGGACTCATACTCCTTTTGTATTCTCCTTCCTGGGTGCCCCCCTGTCATGCAGTCTTGGAGGACTTGTGCCCACATGCCCCAGAGTGCTGCCATCCCCAGGAGTTTGGGGATCCCCTCTGGCACCCTCAGAAGCCATGCAGCCCTAAGTTCCCTTTCGGACTTGGGGGATCCCTTCCTTGGGCCTCTCCAGGGAACCTCCTCTCGGGGTTGGTGGGGATCCCTGGGGACCTCACTACTGAGCTGTGCCTGGAGATGGGGGACTGTGTCCCTTCTCCCCAGGGTCCACAGACATGTCCTGCCAGCAGGTCCCCAGAATAACTTGAGGAAGTTGGAATATCCCTCCCCACTGACCCGCCTTCCACTTTCCCTCTAGGTTTCTGTGCAGTGCTTTGTAGGAACGGGGAGACTGAGGTACCTAGGGAACTAGGGATAAGTCCCCAGTCTTGATTTGGTGGTACCCTCACCCATCCTAGCTCTGATGGGGAAACTGAGGGGCAGAAAGGATGAGCAACTCGCTCAAGGTCATGGCAAGGGAACAGAACTGGGCTAGGGACCCAGGTGGCCTCGTGCCCAGCCTGCCTGTGTGCCAGCGCCTGCCTGCCTGCACAGCCTCCTCAGTGCTGGGCGCTGAGTACAATTTGGGGAGCAGCAAAAGCCCCTGTTAGACGAAGTGAGAAAAGTTTGCTGGTGACTGACCACATTCTGGACATCAGCAGAAGCCTCCAGGCCATCCCTGGGTCTTGAAGGCCAGAGTGGGCTGGGGGTCCCATGGGAGATAGGGCTCTGAGGTCCTGTGGCTTTATTGTCAGTGCCAGCACACGGGGTCACACGGCTCTCCTGAGGTAGCCGGGCTGCAAACAGGGTCTTAGGCAGATGGCCTTCCAGCTCCTAGCGCCTCTGCCACTGATCACTTTCTCTTCTTTTCTAAGCCCTGCCGAGTGCCCTTCTAAGCCTGCTGTTCCTCCACTGTCTTCTGCTGTCCTCAGTCCTTGGGCCAAAAGTTGTATAAACGGCAGTCTTTGAGGCAGTCTGTGGGACAAGGGTGGCCAGTGTCCGCCATGGGGGCAGGGAGCATGTCCAGACACTCCCAGTTACCCAGCTGTGGGGTCAGACCCCGGGGCCCAAGACAGAGATCCCATGCCAAGGAAGGCCACCTTAGTGCTGGTCCCCTTGCTGCTAGCCCTGCTGGTCACATGTGGATTTGATTAAGGCTCTTCCCTGTAGCCGGCTGAGCAGGGAGCCCAGCGGGCAGTGCTTCCCAGCCCAAGTTTTTGGTTTCAGCTCCAAAATTCCTGTCCCTGTCATGGCCTGTCCTTTGTTCTAGCAAATGCCAAACAAATGTGGAACTGGGACGGAAGGGGGTCTCTGGGACAGCCCTCTGCCCCACCTGCCACAGGACTGTGCTGCTGGCAGGATCCTGACAGGAAAAGAGGGCATCCAGTCTTGGCTGTGCTACCGCACAGCCACCTCCTGTTGATGGCCTGCTCTGACCTGCTGCCTGAGGGATGGCCTTCCTGGTCTGGAGCAGACCCTGACCCATACACCTTTCTCACCTCCTCTTCTTCCTCCTGCCCGGGGCATCTCAGGTGGGGGGTGACTCCCCCAAAATCTTGTCATAGGGGTGGGGGTTGAGTGGATGTGGGCTCTACTCATTCTGAGGTTGGGGGGGTTCTGCCAAAGAGGGCCTTGATGCCCGGGACCCTTTGGGAGGTTGAGTGTTCAGGGAGGGCTGAACTAGAGCCTGTGCCCGGTGCTAAGGTGTCTCAGGCACAGGTGGAGGGGTGGTGTTCGGCCTCAGGGTTTGAGGGCAACTGGTACAGGGACTGTGGCCCAGGGAGAGGTACAGGGTGAGGGACAGGCCTGAGACATGAGGTGGTTTCAGGGATGGACATGAGAGATAGGCCAGATTGGGGAGAGACAGCTGTGGGGCCAAATCAGAGAGATCAGTGGTGGTAGCAGGCTGGGGAAACCCAGACATAAGAGGGGTGGTTGGTGAGCCCAAGTGGCACACACACGGCTCTGTGAGGAAGGGGACTCAGGTAGAGCTTGGCAGCTTGAGTCAAGGACAGACAGAGAGAGGAGAAGAGAGGAGCCCAAGGGGTGGCTGTGCTCAGATGGGGACGGACAGGCACCCTTGCGTGGCTGGGCGTTGTGCTTAGCTGCACCGAGGTAGTAAGTGTATGGCTGTTCCCAAATTATGTCCTCCCGATGTGCAGATCATTTCCTGAGGCCTGTGGACTTCGTCAAAGAGGGAGCCCCATACCCACTTCCATGCTGTCATTGGGAGGCACCCTGTTGCCAGTCCAGCCACCCTCCTGGGCACCCCCATCAGCTGCTGTCCATCTCCAGGCTGCCCACTGGGCATCACTGGGCCAGGTTCCTGGGCCAGCTGCCCTTACCTGGCCTGGCCGCTGGCCAAGTGTGGGGCTGCACATGCACTTGTGCTCATGGGGGCCGTGGGGTGTGTCTGTGTGTGTCGGCGCACGTTCTTGTCTCTGACATTTGGGGTCCTGGGGACCTTGGGAGGTGCATGCCTGTGTGTGTGGTGCATACACTGGTTTGTGTGGTAGAGTGACACATATGCGTACATATGCACGGCACCCCTGACGTCTTTACACGTGTCCTCGTGATTATGCCTGGAGTGCATGCATGTGGAGAGTGTAACACATTCGCAGGAGCATGTTTGTGTGTGGAATGTGTGTGGTGTCTAGGGATGCATGTGTGTACCTGCACCTTCATATCTGTGCATGGGGAGAATATGTGTGTCCCTGTGGGGGTACACACGTGTGTCTTTAGCATGTCTGGAGAATTCTTGTGTCTGCATGTACAGCCTGGCTTGGCTGCCCCAGGGCCTCACTGATGGTGACACACAGTCTACCTTCCTTGTTCACCCTTTGCCTCCTTCTTGGGCCAGGTGGGTCCCTGCTGGGAGATGTGTCCAGACCCCCTGGACCCTGTGCTGCCTGTTTTGCAGAGGGGCCACTGTTGTGCAGAGTAGGCACCATGCGGGGTGCCTGCCAGCCCTCAGACTCCCCACCCAACAAGATCACCGCAGTCAAAGTGGACCCAGCTGTGCTGACCCGGATGGGGACTCTGGGCTTGGCACCTACCCCCACCAGGCATCTTGGGCTCTAGCCTCCCACGGCCCTCCATCGGCCTGATTGCTCATGGGGGGCGGTAGTGGTGACCGAGTTTCCTCTCAGATAATCTGGCAGGAAAATGGGGCTTTGAGAAGGATGTTCCTGTGGTATAGGTGTGGGGCCTCTGTTCCTGTCCCATCCCTTCCAGCCTTGCCTGGGCCTCTGAGGGTGGCAGCTTTAAAGGGGTAATGCTATGTTTTGTCACAGGAGGCTTTTTGCTTTGTTTGAAAGCAGCTCTTCCACTCGGCTTGTGGGGCTTAGAGAGTGAGACCTGGTGGCTCTGGTGACTTGGAGCAAGAAAGGGAGGTGCCCTGGCTGGTGTGGCTCAGTGGATTGAGCACCAGCTTGCCGAGGGAAAGGTCGCCGTTTCAATTCCCAGTCAGGGCACAGGCCTGGGTTGGGAGTTTGTAAGAGGTAACCAGTCTACATTTCTCTCACATAGCGATGCTTCTCTCTCCTCCCTTTTTCCTTCCCTTCCCCTCTCTCTAAAAATAAAAATAAATAAAATCTTAAAAAAAAAAACAAAAAAGAAGATGGGGTCCAGGAGGTCATGGGAGGGCCTGGACTTGGAATTGTGGGTCCTGAAACCCTGGGTGTGGTCTCAGGCAAGCGGCCTGGTTGCTCTAAACCTATGTCTTTTCTGTGAAGTGAGGGGGGGCAGGCTGTGCCCCTGGGCAGATGGCAGCAGGACTCCCAGGGGCAGAGAGCCCTCCCAAAGAGGGGGGAAAAGGAGCCAGCTCCCGTGGGCAAGAATAGGTTCCTCCAGGGCTTCAAATCCATAGTGACAGTGACATTCCAGGGTGGGTATGGCAGGACTGGGGGACAGGGATTGCTGAATGGGGCAGTTCCAAGACTGCCCACCTGCTGGGGACCTGGGTCCCCCCATTTGGATCTGAGCTAGGGTGCAAATGATTCCTGTGGTCTGGTAAGCAGGTGGGTCCTCCTGTCCCCAGCCTTCATCCCTCCCCATCATAGACAACCCTGGGTGGTCTCAGCAGAGGGAGACCCAGGATCTGGGATGGAGGATCCAGGCCAACAGAAGACACTGATGGAGTTGGCCTCTACCTGCCGGGGAGCTGCGCTGGGGAGGGGGCTGGCATATCCCACCTTTGGGTCTCCCTGAGGATGTTCTCTCCAGGATTACAAGTCCCTCAGGGCATGGGTGGAGGTGGCAGTGTCCTGGGGGCAGCAGCCCCCTTAATGGGGGTGTGGAGGCAGTGATTTCCTCCCATGGGCCTTCTGCAGCCCCTGCACCGGGCCAGGCTGGATGGAGGTCCCACCCCATCAGTCAGGTTTTCTCTATGACACCCCCTTTCCCCTTCCCTCCACTTCAGGAAGTGCCCCATGGTGTCCCGGTAGGATTTTTCTCTTCAGGAAGTGGGTCCAGAGGGAGGGTTGGAATGTGTCTTCTACTCACCAGGTGAGCCCTGTGTGGTGGGAGGAAAAGGGGCCAAGTTCCCACCATGCTGTTCCATCCTAGGTTGGCATGTGAGCACAAAACCTATTGGGGATTTTGTTTTCACCTCAACCAGACTTTGAACTCATGGCCAGTCAAACCCCACTGCAGGTGCACCCCACACCTGACTATTATGGACACTCGGCCCCATGCCTTGATCTTCCTGTCAACCTGAGGATATTGGCTTTGAGGGGCTCCAGTCACCACATGGGCCAAGTTGCCCTCTCCCCCAGCCCACCACCCAGCCATGCAGCCTTCTAACCCACCCATTTTGTGGGTCAGGTGCCCCATTGTGCTTCCATTTCACAGACCCAGAGTGAGTGAGTCAAGCAAGGCCATGGGGAAGCCAGGCACAACTGGGTGTTGCCCCTCTCCTAGAGGCAGCCAGATCTGGGGCTAGCCAGGGAGTGTCACAGACACTGTGCATTCTGGGGACAGAGTGGGGGTGTCCAGACAGGCCTGTGGACAGTGCATCTGCACCATGTCTTACTGAGACTAAGGCCCCTCACTGATTCTGACTCCGTGCCCCTTTCCCACCTTTGCACCTACCATGTCCCTTCTTTTTCCTCTTGCTTTAGCTCTGGGGCCCCTGCATTCATTGTATCTCCTGTACCCACAAGACCATACCTATCCTTTCCAACCCTGCACTAATTTGGGGCCCTAATTTTCCCCGAGGTCCTACCCAGTCCTCACTTCCTGGTGTCCAGGCCTCAGATGGGGAAATACCTTCTCAGGCCCTCAAAACCCTGGGGGTAGGCACTAAGGCCTCAGGGGCCTCTCTTGGGGCAGCAGGGACAAGTAGGCTGTGACCCACTAGGGTGCAGGATAGGTGCCCAGGGCCCTGGCCTGCTGCCCACCCCCCAGTGCCTCACTTTCCAGTCTTGGAAGCCCCCACATCTGTTTTGGGTGAGATTCCCTAATTAGTTGCTTTGCTATTGGCTCCTAATGATGACAGTTTGGCCAATTGGAGCTAATTAGCCATTTGCCTGATGATTGCAGGGGGCGGGTGGCTGGCAATGTTGGGGTGGCTGTGAAGGGCAGGTCAGGGAGCCCTGATGGGTGAGGGATCGTGGGGCTGGGAGGACTACCTGGAGGAGCATACTTTGGCAGGGCGATCAAGATGGGGGCAGAGGTGTGGCTGGTGGAAGTAGGGGAGGGAGCAGAAAGTCTGAAAGCCTCAAGAGCCCACTGTCTGGGAAAGACCCTAAGTCAGTCACTAACCCCTTAGTGAGAATTTCCATCTCTGTCTGCTGCAAAAGGAGAGTATTTGCATATCAGGCTAAGGCCCAGATGGAGGAAATGAAGGCTTTGTCTTGCTTGTGCCAGAGTTACCAGGCACCAGGCTCCCTTTGGGGGTTGGCCTGTCCACACAGGCAGGAGCAGAGGTGCTCGCCCTGGCTTGATAGCCAACTTGGCACCGGGAATGCCGACACAGCAAGGCCATTGCTATTTTAGAGCCAGGAAGGGGAAAAAATGGTCCGCTTAAGTAGCCAGAGTACTGGTAGGGGGTGGGGGGCTTCTCCTGGGACACGCCTGCCTGGAGTCCTCTCTTTCCCACATAGGGGCCACTGTTTGCTCCCCAAGACTCTAACACCTTGAATCATTGGCCTTTGTTTGATCTACCAACATGTATTAAGTGCCATTGTATATAGGACTTGTGTTAGTCACAGGGAAGGGGCAGAGAAGGAGGCTGACCCCCATGGTTAGGAGGGCAGACAGTAGATTACGTGGAGGTAGAACTGATGATATTGTAATAACATATATGATAAGGAGGCTGGGAAAAGCATTCAGGCACAGGGAAGAGCATGTGCAAAGGCCCTGGGTGGGAACAGGAACAGCCGGGAAGCTGGTGTGGCTGGAAGGCAGGCAGAGGGTGATGAGGGTGGGGGGTGTCGGGGCCACATGGGGCCTTGTGGGCCTGGGAGGACTGTGGGGTTATTTTTAAGAAAAGATTTTATTTATTTATTTTTAGAGAGAGGGGAAGGGAAGGAAAAAGAGGGGAAGAAACACTGATGTGTGGTTGCCTCTTGTGTGCTCCCTTCTAGGGACCTGGCCTGCAACCCAGGCATGTGCCCTGAGTGGTAGTTGAACCAGTAACCCTTTGGTTTGCAGGCCGGCACTCAATCCATTGAGCCACACCAGCCAGGGTAGAACCGTGGGTTTTATTCTGAGCGATGGGGAGGGTTTTGAGCCATTAGATCACAGAGTCTGACTCATATTCAGAAAAGCAAGCCCTGGATTTTGGAAGGACAGAAGACTGACGGGCCTGGTGGGGCACAGATGTCCAGTCTCTGAGCCAGCAAAGTGTCCTTGGTCTCTGATGCTTTTCAGAAGGTGAAGGGAGAATGATGGTGGCAGCTGGTGCAGGGGAGGCAGGTGTAATGGGGCACACAGGCAGAGGTGGAGGGGGAAGAAAGGAGCATGCTGTGGCCCCACCTTCCTGAGTCCATTGTGGTCTCAAAACAGTCCTGTAGAGAGCCAGGCTGTCAATGGGGTTTTCAGTGGGGCTGGGAAGGAGCAAAAATGACTTTTCAAAAAGCCTGGAATAGTCTCCGCACTCATCAGTTGTAAGGGGCTGGAGGGTATGGGCCATCACTGAGACACCCATGCCCGGCCAGTCTTGGGCAGCCTGAGGGTTGGACAGAGTGAGTGCAAGGCTGACCCTGGCCCCAGCCTGACGCTCACTTCCTGAGTCTTGTTTCCAGACACATTAATTCTATTAAAAAACCCTCCTACCTCTTTGGGGGCGGAATGAGCTCCCCATCCCTGGATAAACCCAGCAGAATGGAAAGGGGCTTGAGGAGAATCTGCTCCCTTCAGCTCCCAGAACTGAAATTCTACGTGCTGTGATCTTAGCTACAGACTCAAAATCACTGCTGTAGTGATGAATAGGAAAACGGTACAAGTGATCAGGGTCTTCTGCTTGCCTCATTCCTGCCGGTCCCAGGGGCCCTGGTGCAGCATCTCTGGGGCTGCAGGAGGCCAGCCTCTGCCATCTGGTAATCCCTCTGCCCCCTCAGGTGCCGGCTGTGCCAATTACTGCTCCAGGCATGGGGACCCTCCGAGCTCCCTCCCACGGGCTGAGGCTGCTGGCAGGATGGGTACAGAGACAGAGGCAAGGCTGGGATCCCAGCAGCCTGTGCCCTCCCTGCTACCTACCCTGGCGAGGTCTCAGTTTCCCTGCCTGTACGGGAAGGGAGGAGAATACAGGGGCTGCATGGCAGAGCCTACTCTGCAAGCCTGGATGCTTAGGCCTTTTATGTGCTAATAAGCCCCTCTGGGGAGCCCCCCCTTGTCCCCCCTCAGTCCAGGCCGCATTAACAAGACAGGGACCCAGGAGACCATGTCCAGAAGATCTAAAGGCTCCTGGCGCTGTAACCCGAGGCGGTGATGGAAGGGGAGCTGCCAGCTGACCTCCATCTTCCCAAAACAAGGCTGGGTCAGGGCTCCCCCAGGAAGGGGCTCAGCTGCATGACAGTCTAAAGGAACCTCCCTGGCAAAGGCTGGGAGTCAGGGCTGGGGGGGGTAGGGATGTCATGGGCGGGGGGAATGTGGTGGAGTGACCAAGAGCTTGGGGGAGAATTGCCGGATTCCTGAGGCTCCTGAGGAAGGACAGTGAGGCGAACTTGCTGGGGTGACACAGGATGGAAGGGGTGGAGCTGCGGTTGAACCCAGGACACTGAGCTAGAGCGAGGGAGTGACTGAGGCGTTCTTTCGGAGCCTTGTCACATGGGGGGGAAGGATAGTGGAGGCAGAGCTTGCCTCGGAGGCTGGAACTCCAGGCGTATGTCACCACGCCACCTTGGGCCTTCTTGGCAGGCGGATCTGGAGAAGGAAAGCTAAGACTGTATGTGATGGGCAGGATAAGGGGCCGCCTGGAGGTGGGGACACAGAAGTCAAGCTGTAATAATGTTTCTGGAGAAGGACTTCCTGGTGGGGCAACAGCTTGTTCGAAGCCTGTTTGTTTAAGAGGGGCCCACATGCTGGGCCTGGGGGTAGGGAGGCGGCTCGGAATCACGTGGTACCAGTCGTGTGCATGTTACCCAGAGTACCTGGTGGCAGTCACTCTTTTCTAGCTCCCATCGTGTTGTGGGCCAGAGGCCCAGGTGCTTACCAGCTGACTGTTTTGCTGAGCCTGCGACCTGGGGGTGGTGGTGAGTGCCAGGCACGGGACCGTGGACTCTCACCCTCGAATCTCTCCTAGCATCTGCCCAGCCTCCTAAAACTGCCCTCCGCCATGTGCTGACCACACCCCCACATAGACCCTTCACGTTTTCCATCCCTCACCCTGCCCTGCTTTGGCCCCTCCTGTTACACGTTCGGGACCCGGCTCCCTCCTCGACAGCTGGCTCCGCCCCCGAGTGGGCTCGGCTTTGCGCTGACCGCTGGTCCCTCTCCCAGGTTTCACGCGGATGCAGCGGATGACAGTGGGGGTTACACGGTGGAGGTGAGCATCAACGACTACCTGGACATCTATTGCCCACACTACGGGGCGCCACTGCCGCCGGTCGAGCGCATGGAGCACTACGTGCTGTACATGGTCAATGGCGAGGGCCACGCCTCCTGTGACCACCGGCAGCGCGGCTTCAAGCGCTGGGAATGCAACCAGCCCGCCGCGCCCGGGGGACCGCTCAAGTTCTCCGAGAAATTCCAGCTCTTCACACCTTTCTCGCTGGGCTTTGAGTTCCGCCCGGGCCACGAATACTACTACATCTGTGAGTGGGCGGGTGGGACTGGGAAATGAGGAGGTGGCGGGAGAGGGCGAGGTGGGGGCGGTGGATGGTAGGGCATGGTTCCATCCGGTACCTTGTCCAGCACTGGCCTCTGTCCCCAGGTCAGCCTGGGTGTTCTTATCCACCCAGCAAGCCACAGAAACCCCACTGTCAGAGTCCCCATTTTGCATGCGGGGAAAGTGAGGCTCAGATGGGCTGAGGCCACACATACGGTCTCAGCTTCAGGATCGGCCACTGGACCTCTCTGCTGTGGGGGCCAATGGCCTCACTGTCAGTCAGCCTGTCCCACACTGCGACAGGGCTGCCTACCCCCTGCAGCACTCTGGGAGGAGAATGAGGCATGGTGAGTCTGGCTGCAGAGCAGAGCTTGGTCAGAGCCAGGGGAGGGCGGAGCCCTGGTTCTGCCCAGCACCTCCTGGCCTGGGCAGGTGTCTCCTGGGCCCTGTCCCCGCCTCGCCACCCCATCCCCTGCTGCAGGGAAGGGACCCAGCTCCTCGACACTGAGGCTCCTGCTGTGTCAAATTAAACTCCACAAGGTTTTTAAAAACTTAAAAACTCCATTTCCTCCTTTTCTGCTCTACTTGGGTTTTTCCTTTTAATTCAGGGAAGAAGGGGGTGAGGGCAGAGGGAGTAGGTGTTTAAGTCCTGTAATGTAAGAAGAATTATGTTTCTTTCTACAATGGGAGTTTCATAAAGATAATTATTGTAATTAGTTGTCTTATCTCTGTGACAAATGTTATTTTTTTACATGCTCTTTATTTTCATCTCCCAAAGTGAGGGGCTTCTGGGGGCCAGAGCAGAGGTGGCAGCCAAAGACAGAGGACAGGTTGGGGGGATAGGTGGGGACAGGCCTGGCTGCAGCTCTGCGGCTGCCCACACCTATTTACAGGTGTGCACAGTGCCAGCCACCTCCCTCTGATTCATCGCTGAGCTGTGGTACCACCCCTCCAGGGCCCTTGTCACATTGGCCAGGAAGCAAGGAGCAATAACGATGGCATTTTAGGCATGAGGACCCAATATGCTTCTGTGTTCCTGTGACTTCTGCAGTGTGGCTTCCTGCAGGAGAGGTGGAACCTGCCTCTGTCCCAGGGTAACTGGCTTCTGCTGTCTCCCAGATGGAAATAATTGTTTCCCAAGTACCTACTGTGTGCCAGCTGAGATCCAGATAGGTAGTGATTGCTGACAGGCATCCAGAGAGCAGGGATTTGACCCCGTGGTGATCATTTGGTTACATGGAGATTTGAAAATCAGTTGAAAGTAAATGTATTTTTACCTGTCACCTTTGAGCCTTGCCTTATGCCGCTCCAGGGTAAGATGGAGCTACATGCAGATATGTGCCATTTCTGAGGTTAGGGTTCAGCAAAAGGGAGGGGCGGGGGACAGGTGCAGGAGGGGGCCACAGTGCCAGGATGTCTTGTCCAACTCCTCTCTTCCAGCTGCCACACCTCCCCACGCCGTGGACACACCCTGCCTGCGGCTGAAGGTTTATGTGCGGCCAACCAGTAAGTATCAAGGGAGTCGGGCAGAGTCCAGGCCCCAACCCTTGTGTCTTCACTGAGGACCCTCTGAGCAGTCAGAAGAGTCAGGGGATGGTCACAGCACAGCTCAGGGAGTCCGACCACCTCAGCAATGGCAGGCTCACTCTTGAGCCTCAGTTTTCCATCTGCAAATCAGAACATTTCAGACCTTCACAAGTGAAGATTGAAGCCTATCACAAGGCCCCTCGCTGAGGTCCCTGGGGTGTGGGTGTCAGGGAAGTTTCCTGAGACAGACTCAAGAGCCTGTGTTCTGAGCTCTTGAAACACCATAGCCACATGCAGAGGCAAAGGAGCTACTGCAGCTTTGAGACTCACCCAGGGGCCAGGGACACATTAGCTGGGTGCTGGATACTTACCTTGGTGTGCACTGGAGGCACAGCCCCAATCAAGGTAGACAGAAACCTCAGTGCCCCACAGGGAGCCGAGGTTGAGACAGTTAATGATGGTCAGGTCAGGATAAGCTCTAGGAAGCAGTGAAAAACACATGGGGGAGGGTGGCCATTTAGGGAGGGGTCTGGGCCACCGCTGACCATCCTGTCTCCATGTCCCCCAGATGAGACCCTGTACGAGGCCCCTGAGCCCATCTTCACCAGCAATAATTCGTGCAGTAACCTGGGCAGCTGCCAGCTCTTCCTCAGCACTGTCCCAGTGCTCTGGACACTCTTGGGCTCCTAGTCCTGGCCTGCAAGACACCAGCCCCACCTGGACGACCGCATCCAAGACCAAATAGAGACACCTGGCTCTCCCACAACTGGTGCTGCCCCCATCTGCAGAGGCCTGTTTGCTGGCCCCAGGACTGACCCCAGGGTCAGGGGGCGCCAACGCCTCAGACACCCGAAAGGCCGTATGTGAGCTCAGCTCCCGGCCAGGCCGTCTCATCAGGGGCCTGGAGAACCTGAGAAATTGTCAGTGATGTTGGGGGGTTTTGTTTATTTTTTCATGGTTAGCTAAGAAAGACTGGAGTTTTTAATTTAATTTATTCCTTGCTATTGCCAGTGACTTTGGGAAGGAAACAGAATGGATGAGGTGAAGGTCCTTGGCCCCCTGGGGGAAGGGGATCCCTAGTCTGGTTACTCCGTTTGTTGGGTCCTGGCTGAAGGCCACCACAGAACCCACAGTTACCCCAGGACAGGCCAGTACGAGGCAGAGGGGCAAGGCGAGACCCCTGGACTCTGAGCCCACCTCAGACTCCTGTCCCCCTAGTCCCAACCCCACCCTCCCTCGTACCTGGCAGTCATCACCCGGAGTGGAAACCCACGCTGTTACATCAGAGGCCACTGCGCTGCCCTGGCCCCTTGGACTCGCAGTTCTCCCCGCTGTCCTGCAGCCTCTCCCAGTCGTCCCTGCGTCCGAGAGGATGTTACATTTCTGTAAATAGAGCCAGCAAGTATATACTGTGATTTATTTTTACTGTATTCTTGAGGATGAACTGGACAGGTTGTTTTTTTTGGTCACACCTTCATGGGGGTTTTTATTTTCGTGGGGGTGGGGTGGACTTTTTAGAATAGAAGCTGCACTTTGCAATAAGCTTGTTCATCTGTCAGAGCCCCCTCCTCTACTCTATGACTAGTAATGTTTATAAGAAAAAAGAAAACAGGACAAAATGAAATGGGGGGTGGGAGCGCCACCAAAAAAAGGAAGTGGCCTCCCGAAGACACTTTGATGAAGCAAATGGCACATTTATACAGATTTCATATTTCTACCCTCCTTTCCTGATCTGTGTTTTATATATATTATATATAAATATATATGGTGCACAGCTGCCAGGAGACCACCAGGCATGCCAGCTGGGGGGGCTTTTGTAGGGGTTGGCATGGGCGGTGGTGTCGCCATGCCTGGAGCTAGTGATGGCACCTCCCCCTTCCCGTCACAATCAATGTTGGATTCTGTATTTTTTATAATAAAATGAGCATAAACTTGTAGGGTGTGCATCTCTGTGTGAGGGGCTTGTGACTCTCATTGCAGGAGTGCTTTGAGCTACTAATTTGGGAGTCAGGTCCCTGCTAGGGAGGGGCATCCCTAGACGGACGTCTGGGGATGATCACGATTGGTCCTTTAGTTCTCTCCATCTTTTGGGGACCAGGCTCTGCAATAAACATTTTATGGGGCACTGTAACCTTCCTTGTCACCCATGGGCCTCGATTTTCCCCTTCTGAGAAATGGGAATGGACAAACCCCCTGTGCCATAGGGTTCCCTTGGGAGGGTGGGCTGGCATTTCCCCTGGGCTGGTACTGAGTACGCAGCAGGAGTTTATTAAGTGTCCCTCCGAGCACACGACAGGTCTCTTAGGAACCAAATTCTGTGACATTTTCATTGCCCAGCTCTGCTGCTGCATGACTTAGTTTCCCTAACTGCCCCAGGCCAGGGAGGGAGGCCGGGTTGTGTCTGTCATCTCTGAATCCCTTTCCGGTTATGCACAAGGCGTGTGCCAGTGGGTTGTAGGATTCCAGGAAACTTCACCCTAGTTTAGCCCCAGGTGGAAGCACAGAGAGGCTGGGCACACCCAGTAGGGCTGAGGGTCTGGGGTCTTAGAGGCTGCTCCTGCCTTGGTTTCACCCCCCAGGACTGCAGCGTCTTGGGCACAGTTTGCCGAGAGGGAAGGCTCTCAGCTAATGAATTTGGCCTTGGCCATGCAGGGCTTGGTGACAGGGGCTGCCTCTTAATGAGGCCAGCCAACAGCACAAAGACTCCTGTGTGTCCCCCACCCGCCCCTGCCCCGTGGCAGGGGGTGGAGCGTGCACGCATGTGTGCTGCGCTCTATGAGAGAGACCAGAGTCCCCCCTCAACGGTGAGGACCCTGAAGCTCAGAGAGGGTGGAGGCCTCCCTGAGACCTCTTGCCCAAACTCCAGCTCAGCCATGGGGTCAGATGGAGCTAGAAGGAGAGAAGCAAATGCAGGGGTCATGGGGCTGAATCTTGGCAACTGACTTTGATTTTGTTATTTAAAAAAAAAAGAAAAAAAATTGAGTTATAATTCACATACCACACCATCCATCTAAGCATAATTCCACAATTTTAAATACATTCACAGGGTTGCACGATCAGCACCTCTATTCAATTTCAGAACCTTCCGTCACCCTCGAAGAGACCTATCCCCATCAGCAGTCACCCCTAGCCCCTGCCAATCCACTTCCTGTCTCTGTCCTGGGCATTTCACATAAATGGAATCACACAGAGAAGCCTTTTGTGTCTGGCTTCTCTTACCAAGCATTGTGTGTTCAGGGTCCATCCATGCTGTTGTGAGTGTCAGAGCTTCATGCCTTTTCATGGCTGAGTAATATTCCAGTGTGTGGATGGGCAAACGTTTATCTGTTCATCTGCTGAAGTATTTTTGAGTTGTTTTCACTTTTTAGTTATTATAAAGATTTTTAATAATTAGCTTGTTTTAAACTGAGATAGTGTTCAGTTTAAGGTATACATGCTGATATGATACATTTATACATTATGATATGATAACCACTTATTATTTTTGAGACAGTTTTAGCACAAAAAGTGACCTTACATGGGTAAATACAGAAATAGCTCTGTTCCTACCCCAGGGCCTTGGCACATGCTGTGCTCTCTGCCTGGTACATTACTGCCCAGCTCTTGGCTCCTTCAGATCAGGTCAGATGTCACCTCTTGACCTCCCTAGCCAAGTGGCCACTCATATCATGGCCCTGGCTGTCAAATCACTGACTCTTTATTTGTTCATCTCCCTCAGTGACTGGGAGTTCCCAGAGGTTAGGGGCCCTAACCTCTGTCTGTTGGGGCATCACTGGAACCTAGTGCCTGGCCCAGTTTCTCCTCAGGCTTGTCATTTGCCACATGTGTAGACACACACACGCACGCACACACGTGTTGCACAGCCTCAGGCATCATGTACCGCCAGAAGCATTTGGGGCCCTGGTCTTTTTGAAACCACCCCTGTTCCTCAGTGGCCACTGGTCACTCTTCAGGGGCCACCACAAACATGCAGAGTGGCCACTCACTCCCCAGGCTGCACTGTACAGAGCTGGGGACCTCGGCTGCAGCTGACACCCAGAGGCCACCTGAAGGTCCCCAGGTGGCAATTGGTATGGGGATATTGGTATGTGGTTCCCCCTGAGGAACCTCTTCCAGCCCAGAGGTTCCAGAAGAAAGTGATTTCTTCCTCTTCATCTCAGCGCCCCGCCCGGGCAGGGGTTCCAGGAAGCAGGCAGGGGAGTCCGAGGTTCCCCCTGCCCTCCTGGGTGTCCGGTGGAGCCACGGCTCCCGCCTCAGGCCCCCTTAGTGGGGGCACCTCAGTGTGTGGGAGGGACAGGCCCCACAGCCTCTTCTCTATTCGTTTCCTTCTCTGGGCCCCCTGCTGTGGCCGTGAAGGAGGGGCTTTTAGGGGTCGGATCAAGCCCCCTGGCCACAGCCACAGAGAAGCCCCCATGCCTCCCTGAACACACACTCTGAGGAAAGGCCGCCGTCCCGGCAGCCCCAGGGTTTGGCCCTTCTCCAGTTCTCTCACCTGTTCCTCCCAACACCCTCCTACTCACTGGGGGGCTCCCACCTCTCAGGCCTTTGCTCCGGTTCTTTCCCCCTCCCGGTACACCCTCCCCTTCTTTTAGCTTTCCTGAAATGCTGCTCCTCAGACCCTTCCGAACCCCTTCTTTGCCTCCTCCGTGGTTTTCTTCTCTGGCATTTATTCATCAGCCCTCAGTTGTGCCATAGTGTTAGGGACCTTGGTCCAAGTTGCATGTGGTTGGGTGGCTACTCATGGACAAATAAAAAGAGAATTTGCAGCCCAGAGCCCCTGAGGAGCCATAACTCCCCACAAGATGACACACAAGCCAGAAATTACGTGGCCGTAGCTGGGCCAGTGTGGCTGATGGGGCAGAGACCATGGTTGGCTGGGCAGGAGCCCCGCTTCCCCTTGGTCTCTGCTCACAGCTGATGGGCCAGCCAGGTCATTATTAGAACCATACAGGTGATGATCATTAGGGCCGGGTCCAGACCCAGGTGTGGATGGGTGAGGTGGTGTCTCGAATCCTGAGCTTGGGGCAGGTGGCAGGACCAGGAGAGGTACAGAGACCAGATAGAAAGGAAATTCAGGTATGTTTGTCTTCCCTGCATTTTTACAGAGGAGGGGAGGCCTCGAGCAAAGGAGGCAGGCAGGGGTGCATGAGAGGCTTTGGGGCAGGATTGTAGGCCAAGGAGGAGCAGTGGACTGCAAATCTGAGGCTGCTGAACCTGAGACCGGGGCTGTCTCCCACCGGAGTCACCCAGGAGGGCACTGGACTTCTGTGCCTCTCAGTACTGCTGTGGAATGATGGAGCACAATCCTGTTGGCGTTGCTGTTCCCCCTGCGCTATGGTTGAGGCCAGAGAGAGGGAGAGACTCCCAGGGATCACCCACCTGAGCCTGGACACTCCTGCTTCATTGATCCGGAAATGGAGTTTGAGAAATCCAAAGATAATCAATGGGTCTTAATGAACAAAGCAGTCTGTGGTGGGCACTGAGCAGCGAAGGGGACCCCCTCCCCTGTGCAGGTGGGAAAACTGAGGCCCCACCAGGTATACAGGTCAAGGAGTTGAATCCAATGTGAGTCTAGGCCAATGTGGTGGGATCAGGAATTCAATCTGAGCAAGGCCTCAGGCAGCCCCAGGGGCACAGGACCAGGCCCTGCCACTGCAGCCGGAGGTGGGGGGGGCAGGGCCTAGATGTAGAGACCCAGGTTGCGTGCCTCCTCCTCCAGGAAACGTTCATTCCGCCTACCGGGCTGTGCTAGGAACCCCGCGGCTGCCCTCTCCTGGAAGCTCCTACTCAATTTACGCATGGGTTTGGGGGATATGGGAGCTGTTGCAGGTTAGAGTCCAGACTCCCACTGCTGCTGCATGGTTGCCTCTCTAGGTCTGGGGGCCACCGCACCCGGCTCCTGGAGTGAGGAAAGCTTCCAGGAAAGTTGTTCGCACAGGCTGTCTAGCCAGGCCCCTCTGGAGCTCTAGCTTCCAAGGGTACGCTGACTGGAGCGCAGAGAGGGGGAGGAAGGTAAGGGGGCCGGTTACTAATGATGGCACTTACCTGAGCCCCCCAGCCTCCAAGCCACCCCCATCTCCACCCTTATTTTCATGATTAACTTCTGATACCACCAAGGAGCTGCCCCTTTAACAAAAGGGGGACTGAGGCAGGCAGGCGTCAGGCATGTGGTCCCAGCGGGGAAGGGGATCCTGAAGAGGAAGAGGAGGCAAGAGGCAGTCATTCTGACCCAAGGGCTGGGGGCGCAGAAGAACCCGCCACTCATCCTGTACTCATTTGCAGCTTTAAGTGCTTAAAAGCCTCTTGTGGTCACTTGGACTGGTGGGTGAGTGGGTGGGGCAGGGCAGCTGTGGCTGTGTCTGGGGGCACCCCCACAAAGAACTTGAGATGTCCAGGAATCCAGGGGATGTCTGAGCCCCCCACCTTTTCCCTCTAAAGTGATTCCCTTGAGCCCTCAAAACAAAGACCCTGCTTCTGCGGCGAGGTCCCGCCCCTCCCCATCCGTCACTGGGCTCCTCCCTTAGCGGTCTCCCAGCTGGAGTGTCTTCCCTCCTCTGCACCTTGGCCGGGGCCAATTTTCCCATGGGAAACCCTGTTCCCAGCACTCCATCCCACTGAAAGAGTTTAGGTCCCAGTTCTGTGCTCCAGACCTCAGTTTCCCCATTTACAAACAGTATGAGCTCTGGTCTCAGAAGGCAGGAGGGGAGACCTGGTTTCTTTCTTTGACCATTTTGGCAAGCTTTGGCCAAGCTACCTTCCCCTCTAGGACTCAGTTTCCCCAACTGTGCAATGTGGCACAGAGCTTGGGTTCCATTGCCAACTCAGCCTCTTTTTCCTGTGGGGTTCCTCGGGACGGGGTGAGCGTTCTCCTTTCTGTTTCTCTGTTTACCCTCCTGCAATTCAGAAGAGACCCACTTGAAACCCCCTGTACAGGT